TCATAATTTGAAGGTGAAAATTTCCTACAATGAATTATGCGAACAAGTACCTGCTAGTTTTCACGAAGACATGATTCGTTGGGCCATGGAGTGCTTCTGTAACCTGACGTTTAATAAACATCTCGGTTTTCTGGAGTCACCTGGTTACAATTCGACTTCTGAACCATCAAGAATCATCAGCTCCTTGATAACAGCTCATAAGTACATGAATCGCTCCGAAAGTGTGGCGATTCTTTTGATTCCTTTCGCTAGAAAGCTCTTCGAAGCTTGTGACGTGCTTGATGGGTAAATTAATGTTCGAATTTTAGTATATAATTGATTCTGATGAAATTTTACGGTTGCCTATCTTAGCGTCATAGGAAGATACGTTCGTCAGGCTCGAACTAAAATCACAGCTCGTAGTTCTTTTCACAGAGAAACAGATCTAAGTTGACTCAAGCTACATGGATCGGACATCTCGAAAATTGCTTCATCTGAATAATCAAACGCTAGAGACAATAAACAGATAGATTCGTAATGTATAAAGTTAAGCAGCATAAGTATGATAAATCAATTTCATCGCGAATATTAACCTGGAATTCCATCTCCCGCAATCGATAATAGATTAAATTGAACACCATTTCCAGCATGAATATTCCCTCCTCAATTGATTTCACAAGCAACAATGAAGGCCATTTATTATTGCCAAAACGTCGTATAATTCGTATACAATATGTACGCAGTATATAATTTTCGAGAGCGCGTGTCTCCATTTAGGTGCGTTCGGACCCAATGGCCACTTCGTGAAAAATTGACAACCTGTTCTTAAAAATCTTACCAAATTGTTGCTATCCTTTAATTTGAATTTTTTCACTGTTTTTGTACTTTCACTTATGAAAGAATTTTTTACTTGCAAGGAAACGATACGAATCAAAGGAACCATCGTTAGTGGTAGCAATTAAGAGAGCAAATAGAGGACATGCTCAGTCGTTTCGTAATTATGCATAGGTGCTTAAATAAGTTAACGCATTGCGTATAGTGCTTTATTAACAATTTCTATCAATTTTGGCATTTCCATATAATAATGGAATGTCTGGTATTATTATGATAAAACATAAAATAAAAATTGTGGAGGATTTTCAAATAAATTTCGATAAATTTCATACATTTGTATATGATAATTTCTACCCGAATACATATTGAGAAATTCATCCTTTTGATAGCAGAATACGTTCGATTTTCTGTTATTCAAATTCTGTTCTATCATATCCCGAGTTTATAGAAAAATGAATACTAGAAATGATGAAAGTTAAAATAGCTTATGAAACACTCATTGATTGTAGAATAAGCAACTAAAATATACCTGATTATTGGTCTATTTCTGTTATCGATTAAATATTAACTTTAAGTGTTGCTAGTTGATGACGTTCAATTTTCAGTTTCATCATTTATCATGGCTATTCTTAAAGCGGTAAATAAAGAGAACACATTTGAGACGTACTGAAATAATCAAATGAACAATCGATAAATACGATAGTAAAATAAAATAAGAAGGTCCGTATTTCTATTCTCATACCGAGCAGTAAAAATTCAAAGAAAGAACTGGAATGAGGCACTTGATTTTTACTGTCACCGGAGATTGAGGAGTCAACATGAGGACTGTAGACTTTTGAATTTTTAGAGATCGTTCGTACCATTTTGATTCATATATTCCTTGCATTATGTTCTCGCTCTGACATTAATAAGGATACATTTAATCAAGTCTTAACTTTGTTTCGTTAAGCCTTAAAGAATAGCATCAAATAATCACTTACCATATCTATCAAATGGTCAGCTGGTAGTGAACACATAAGCACTTCCAGCAAAGCGGTTCCACTCACAGTAAGAAACTGAGCTTTCACAGCGAACGGTTGTTTCTATTCAATCGTTCGAACATAGTTCATTATTTTTTGAACTCCAACAATTTTTATTTCGTTATCGAGTACTCACTCCGATCAAATTAATTCCAGCAAATACACACGCCACAGTGCATGTGATTACCGTACCAACGTGCAAAATTTAAATTGTTTCCCAATTTAGGCGCAAGCTACCTTAACCCTTTCTCCGCTATCGACGCCTGAATATATGAGCTTTGGAAATTTGTTCGCTATTCGAGCCTTTTGGCGCACTTCCGTATTACCTCGAGCCTCAATTTTCTCCTCCGCACTCTTTCACGTTAATTAAATAAAACAAATTTCAAATGCGACCAAAAAACAAAACTTTAAAAGTGTACAGCGAAAGGGTTAACAAACCCTACAACAGTTTCTTTTAAAACACGCTTATTCGTCGGAACTCTTATAGGAAGGAAGGCAGTTTCCGGGCCGCGAGGAGAGGTAGCATTTAACTTTAAAGCCTCGTGACTGGGGGTTTACATGTACCGAAGCCCCTATCAGAGGGAGCAGGCTGGTTGTTTCGCCGTTCACCCTGTACGAAAATGTCACGGATCTGCTGTTCGTCCGCCCCCGAAAGAGGGTATTAACTATAGATAACATAGGGGGAACGTGGAGCCACGGCGATACGATACAACGGTATCGTGTGGTTTCAACCCTTTCTCCACCCTTCCTCCGTACGCTGCACCACCCCATCGTGAAATCCACCCTTCCGTACAATAACGCTGGAACTCACGGGAACGCCCGTAAAGACCAACCCCCGCCGTATTTAATTTACTGAATAATTGGAATCAAGCTGCCTCATTTGTGTGCCCACCACCCTCCTCCTCCCACATTCTCCTCTTCCTCCTGCGATCGAGCAACGTGGAAACCCGCCCTACAATTTCCAGGCCCCTACGGATCCTACCGGGAGCCTGATGAGGAGATTTGTGCGCGTTCGTAAAACTCGCTTGAACCTATTCCCTCTACGGACAGCTCCCACCTCCTCCGCTACTTCGCGATCACTCGATCCTCCCGCGCTACGAGGGTGAATAAAGATGGCCAGATAATGGGAACTGGCGAACAGCGGAGAAAAGGGATTAGGGGAGAGTCGTGCAGTACCGGCCAAAGCTAGATCTCGCTTATACTGTTAGTTGAGTGCACTATTGACGGATAAACAAATAAATACTATAGCCCTGAGCAACGTATTCCGGCGACGTTTCTTTTTCTTCAGTATTACCAGAGATCTAACAATAAGACGTTTAATGTTAATGAGCAAGCGTATCTTCTGATTTTATGAAAATTGTTAAAAACATCAGTCCTGCAAATAATATTTCAGAAACAAGGATAACACAGAGAAAACGACGGACGCAACAGTCTGAAATTCTAACATCAGTATCTTTTATAGAAGATGTTCAGGAAAAAATGAAACTGGTTAATGAAAAAAAATTGAAAGCAAAAACAAAAAAAAGTTGAGAAAATACTAAAGAAAGATGAAAAAATCAAAAGAGGAAGGAAGTTAAGGAAAAAGATAGCTCACGAAGAAGGAACCTAGGTATTGACGAGCAAGTCACTGAATGCATCATTTGTAAAGAATCCTTCAACGAAGATTGGGTGCAGTGCATCAAACGCAACGGTTGGGCTCACGTGAAGAGTACGAATCAAGAAAATATCGATCACTTTACCTGTGATATTTGTAGACGTGCCTAAATAAAAGACTATTCTATTTTTAAATGATTTTTACTAACATTATTTATTACTTAGACCTTCAAATCTATTAACTAAGTAGCTGGCCGGTACTGTACGACAATTTTTCGTTCATTGCAAATTACAACTTTTTTATTTCTACCAAATATTTATCTTTATAAGAAAATTTAAGAAAAATCATTTGTCCCCTTTTATTAAGCACCCTTCGTATTACAAATTACTTTTTTGAAATTTCATTTTTACCAACATTAGCCCAAGTTATAGTGCAAAAACTTAGAGTGGCCGGTACTGCACGACTCTCCCCTGCTCCTTTCCTTAGATTCGCTAGGTAACTATTGCTACACGCTTCTCTGTATTTATCTTAAGGTTCTGCAAAAGGAAACTAAAGTAGTACCCGACTTTTGGTTCATCCTGCATTTCTTTTTTTTTCATTAGGAAATGATCTTCTACCTCCGCACAGTCGAATACTTTTTCATACTCTTAATCAGTGTTTCGATATCATTGACATTCCTCAACTCCGTCATCAATATTTCGAAACGAGCTGTAGTGAATAGCAATAACAGTGCAGAAAGCACATTCATACTAGCGTGTGCAGCACACTGTATGCCAACGAACGATTGGTGCATAAAAATGATGCTTCTCAAGGGTTCAAAGTTAACAGGGAATGGATATACTGCGTTGGTTGGAAAAGGATCGGATATAAGCAGACTTCCAAGAACCATAATTATTGCTGTTAAGTAAAACCATGACGAACATGTTATATAAAATAAAGAGTGCTTATTGACGTATCGTTGGAAGACGTCTCTTTCGTATGGTTTTGCTGTTTCACAACAAATCTTCATTTCTTCGATTAGTTTCTGCAACGTGTCACAAAAATTACTGATCTTTCGCTGGACATTTTCACTTACCTAATTATACAGGGTGAGCCATGTAAAACAGGCTTCTTAGTTACTTTTTCTAGATATGGTGGTACGAGAAAATTTTTATACTTGATTTAGACGGTTTCAAAGGGTGAATAAGATGGATGAAAAATATTTTTAATGAAATAAATGACAAAAAGTGGAACTAAGTCTCACATTTAATTTAAAATTTTATAGTCCAAGGTGATCATTTTAAGATTTTGTTATCCTGTATGTTTAAATGCACATCTATGTAAGCTAGTACATACAGTAGAAAAAAATATATACAGTCATGTAAAACAAAACAAGTGACCATGAAGAGAACAGAAAAAGAATGTTTATGAAAACATTTTTCTTTCATTTTATTCACCCTTTGAAACCATTTAAATTACGTATAACAATTTTCTCGTTTATCACGCTAGCTTGAAAAGATAATTAGGTGTCCTGTTTCGCGTGGCCCTCCCTGTATACATATTCTTTGAGGGTTTATGCGTAAAATTAATCTTACCTGAAAATGATCGTATTGGCCGATGCAAACGAAAGTCTGGAAAAATATTTGCACGAGGGCAAGCGTCAGGCAAGCAGCTTTCGCGACGTTCTCGGCGTCGTTTCGATGCACGTGCAGAGCATATAACAAAGGTAGAAACAACACTAACGCGTTTAAAAGCAGGAAAGATCTCAGAATCTTAAATTGAAGCACCAGAGACTTAGTCGCCGTCGAGGGAAGAGGCCAACAGCAGGTAAAAGCCGTGATAACGTGGACAAGGGAGATGGCTCTTTCTGGACTCGGATATTTCAACATAATGACTGGAGGAAAAATG